AAAACTAATTGATTATTTAAAAATTAATCAATTATTTTAAAAAATAACCAGTTCTCAGTATGAAAAAATAATCGATTACTTTTTAAAATAATCGATCAGTTTTTTAACTATAATAGCGGTTAACATGGAACCGCTCTTATATGTGAGTATATAAGAGCGGTTAAACTGAACCGCTATCATATATATATTTTGCATAAATTAGAATAATAATTATCAACTTGAAAATAATTTATATTTAATATATATATATTCTAAAATATAATTTATTTTAATTTCTATAATATATATATAAATGAAAATAAGTTATATTTTGGAATATATATTTTATATTATAGTAATTAATATAAATTATATTTTAGAATATATATATATATATATATATATATATATAATTTTACATCAAAATATTATTTCTTCTTATATACATATAATTTTTAAGATTTTTATTATCCTCCTAATTTATTATTAATTTCTAAAAAAATTATAATATCAAATAAATCAAAAAATTAAAAAAAGTTTAATCACACAAATAAATGTAAATATAATATTTAATAATATATTTTAAATATTATTTTACTACTTTCAACAATAAATCTAAATATATTATTAATTTTAGAAATATAAAAATCTTTTTAAATACCTAATTTAAAACTATAAATGTTAAATAAAATATTAATTTAGAGTTCATATATGTAATTTTAATTTATGTAATATATATATATATATATATATAATTTATTTAACATTAAAAATAGTTATATTTTTATTAATTTTATAATCATAATTTTTTTAAGGTTATAATTTTAAATATAATTTTTTTAACTTTATATTTATAATTTATATAATATATATAATTTAAAAATAATTTTTTTAATTAAAAGTCATTAATTTAAAAATAATTTTTTAAAAATAATATATTATAATATATATAATATCTACATTTAAAAAAATACTAAAAAATATTAAAAGTTATACTTTAAATTAATGAAAATATTTAAAAAAGTTATATTTATTAAAGTATTAAAAAATATTTTGTAATATATAAGTTAAAAAAATTATCATTAAATTTTTTAAAAATTATCAGTTTTGTAATTTATATACAATGAAAATAATATAATGGTATATTAGTATATAAATATATAAATATATATAAATATGTAAATATATAAATATATCAATATATAAATATATGTAAGGATATAAAGATATAAATATATGTAAAGATATAAAGATATAAAATATAAAGATATAAAGATATAAATATGTAAAGATATAAATATATATCTTTAATATTTTGTACATGTAAATATAATTTATATATATTTTTAAATCTTTTTCTAATATTTATTTTTAAAAATATAATATTATTTTTAAAATTTAATATTTAATTTTTTTTTCAAATATATAAAGATATAAATGTATAAGGATATAAATAAATATATAAATATATCATATATATATATATATATATATATATATATCAAAATATAAATATATAAATATATCATTATATAAATATATATATATATATATATATAATATATATATATATATATATATATATATCAATATTATCCCCTCATATATTATTATACATTGTTAGCGTAATTTTAGTTTAATTAAAAATTAGAATACAAATATATTATATTATATTAATATACCATTATGTTATAATATTTGTAATTTATTTTTATAGTGTATAAATTACAAAACTAATAATTTGTATACTATACTATACTAATATATAATTTGTATACTATACTAATAGTATAATATACTATATTATAATATTATTTGTATACAAAACTAATATCTTTATATATAAATATATAAATATGGAAAGATATAAATATATGTAAAAATATAAAGATATAAATATATAAAGATATAAATATATATAAAAATATAAAGATATAAATATATAAATATATCAATATATAAATATATCAATGTATTAATATTTAAATATATATTAAAATATATAAATATATTTTTATTTATAGATTTTATATTTATATATTTATACTGGACATACATTTATTTGTATATAAATATAATTTATTTGTAAGTTATTATTAAAAAATCCTAGTAGCTCAATGGTAGGAGTTTCAACTCTTCAACACTAAGGTACCGGGTTCGAATCTTGATAATGACAATAAAGCTAATAATAAGTTAACTAATTAAGAGTTAGGGAAAATAAATATAAATAAAAACTTAAATAAGCAAAAATATAATATAAAAAGAGGTAGGGGAAATAAATAATAAATATAAATAAAAATAATTAATTTTGTTATTGATTTAGCTACCGATTTAAATCGATCGCTATTTTTTTAACTTTGTCACCGATTTAGCGACCAATTTGATATATTAATTTCAGATCACTATTTTGCGACCGAAATAAAATCGATCGCTATTTTGTGACCGAAATGAAAATCGGTCGCTAACACATTAACGACTTGGCTTTTTGCGACGACGCATTTCGGTCGCTAATATCGGTCATTAACTGATTAGCGATCGATTTTTACCATTAGCGACCGATTTTTTCGGTCGCTAAAATGTTTTTTTCTTGTAGTGATAAAAAAAATTGTAAGCAGTTTTCGATTGTTTAAAATTATAAAAAAAATGTTTATACCTTTTGAAGTTACACCCTTGTTTTTATACACTTTAAATGTCACATCTTTAATTTATTTTTTAAATATTAAATAAAATATATAATAAAAGCATTATTTGATTTAATTTAAAAACTAAAGGATCAAATTAAACCTTTTTTTTTAAATAAAGTGCGTACCATATTTTATCATATTTTCTTTTTACTCCACCATTTCATCATATATATATATATCTCTTTCCTGGAATCTCAAATTACATTACTAATATCTTAAATTGAATAAGGCCACCACCATGGTAGAGTTTATTCATTAATGTAGTTGCAATTTGAATAAACCCTTTGTCCACTCAATTCACTAGCTATAAAATCAAAACCTATTATCATCAAATACAAAAATTCCCAACACATTGAGTCACGTGCTTTTCCATAAAAAATCTTGAATATAAGATATGTTCTTCTTCCTGTTTGACGTTACATACAATTGGACTTATACTTGGTCACTAATTATGATTCAAGTGAAGTTTAAGTTTGTTAATATAGTTCTTTACAAAATCCAATTAGGTGTAAATTGTATGTCACGTTGTCAACCTAAAAACAAAGTATAGCAAGGTATTACACAGGGTGGCACCATATACATATATAGATCAGTAAGAGTGTAAGAAAACTCTTCAAATCCAAGGCTTTATGTACACACAATGTCCTGAGACAAAGTTCTTGAGGTTGAGCTTCAAATCTGAAATAGGAAGAGGTTGCAAATTCAAACCAACAGTTTTTTTTTTTTTTATGTGAGAATTGAGTGACCAAGGATGTCATTTTATAGTGTGTTTGATGATCCGAGTCAAACATGTGGTTATCTGTCATATGATGAGTGCGAAAATCCTGGAAGAAACCAAGTGTGGATGAGATTGAAAATACGGTTTTCAATTCCAATGTCTCCGAAAGCTAAGTCAAGAAGCGGCGCTCTATACCTTTTCTGGATTTTTGTTTACTATGGATAGCGCAAAAACAGGTTCATATGAGGTACTGTGTTCACCTTTTTCCAACTTATCCACCAAGCATATCAATTTGGTAGTTGAAGATTCATTATTATAATATTATTTTTGTACATTATGACATTGCTGCATTGCAATTAACAGCTACATATGTGTGTTTCTCTACTATTGAGGAAGTAACCATCAACTTGTATCCAAGTGATTTTCAAGAAAATCAACTTTATGCAGGTGGGGACTTTGATAATTTTTCACACGACTATACACACAGTTTCACTTGCATCACAACTAGCCAAAGTTGAAAATATCTTTGAACACGGACTTTTGCATAGATTTTAATATCATTTTAATTTATCTTGTGGCTTACCACTGCAAAAGAAAGATCATTTACTCATTCACTTGTAACATTTTATATGACATTTGTGTAACTAACATTTGATGTCTTAATTAATAATTTAAGATATTCTCGCATGTGTTGATGCAGTCTGATATGACCTAGCGTATGTAAAATTTTATGCCAAAAAGAAAGTTTTCATTACACTATTAATATAAGCCTGTGACGTGTATATTATAATAAATGTTTTATTTTTACTTAATAATATAGTTTGTGTTAGATAATGATTATAATATCAAAGGCTGTAATTTAAAACTAAATTGCTAAATTGATGATAGTTTATTTTAAGGATTATCTTCCTGTACTTATCTTTTTTGTTGCCGGCTTCTACACACTTTGTACTAACTTTGACTACTTATTATCAGTAATCATTATCTTTGCTTATAAAAAAGGTACATAAAATGATTTTTAAGTTTATATATAGTCATTGTAATTATCCAAGTATTGTTCATCATTTGTTTGCAATTATGTCACCATATAAAATATCATCCTTTTTATGTAGAAGTGGAATTCAACCTGTTCATTATTAACCATCAAAATATATCTGTGTATATAATTCAATCAATCAATCCATCCAATTATAAAAACCAACCAATCACCATGTGCATCAATAATCAATTGAAATTCAAACTAGGTAGCCCTTCACTTCATAGCAAAAACTAGTGATATTTATCATCTTGAATCAAGAACGTGTATTCAGAGCTACACCATGGCATAGGATTCCCAAAGCAGTTAATTAAGCCAAAAGTATTAATGTTATATGCAGTGTTCGTAAAGGTAACGGCACCAGCACTAGGAAGCAAGATGCATGTGTGTTCATAGAATAATATTTACAATTAACAAGAAGGTAGGAAGTAAGTAGGAAAATGGTTATAAATGGTTGAACAGATTGGTGGTAGCAATAGGAACAGTGAAGGGGTTTAAAGAGGGTAAGTGTGGTTTTGATTTGGTTCATTCATTACGTTCATCTGCGTGGTTGACCAGGTATCTGTGGAGAGGAGAGTGTGACTTGTTTTTCATGTGCAATAGAGAGGAGGTTGCGTGGGAATCCCTTTGGTGAATTTTGTGAGTTTGAGAGGCTCTGAAACAAAGCCTTCCAGATCCCGGTTTTGCACCTATTTTGTTATCAGGATTTATGTGACCGAGACCTTGATTTGTGTATTCTATGTTGGATAAGCACGTGTATAAGCCACGGACTTCAAGGAATTTTGCTTCTCTCTTATACATACCCTTTTCTTTTTTTATTTTTTGTTTCCCTGTAATTCTTCTAATGAGTTTGTGCAAATAATACAATGGCAAACCCCACCATGCTTGTCACAGTTTGGGTCCTTGTTATCACCTGACCCCACACTGGAATTTCAGAAATAAAAAAGTTCTTGAGCAATCTTGAAGAGAAATTACTAGAATGTATATATGTAATGCAAAATCACACTATAAAGAGCTTTTGTACACTACTGGAATACTTGAAATGATAATAGATATGTGTTTTCATTGAGATTAAAAGAATTATGAAAATTCGACATGACCCACTTTAAGATATTGTGACAATATAACTGGTTAACAGAACCAGGGAGGTTGTCTCTATATATGTTATAAAATTCAAGATGATAGAGTTGTTTGGCATATATAGAGACAATTTCCTTGCAGTTCACCACATATTTTCTGCTTCATTTCGGATTCATATACACATGCTAAACAAACTGTGTTGTTAATGGTTGAAATTATGTGTAATCGTTAGATGCTGTCAGCATGTATGACAAAAGGTAATACACATTGGTTCAGAAAATTTCTAGACAAAGGGTGTGGTCAAGGGCATGTTGTGTTGTCCATGAATTATGTACTAGCAAACAAATGTGGTCTCAAGTAACCACCAAAGCTTGCCATCTTTCTCAAAGGAACATGAGAATTTAAATATAAAAACATAATCAAATGTACAAGTTAAAATAGCAATAATTAGAACAAAAAATTATACAAACTAGAAAGAAAATCCATGAAATTTGTGGGGCTTAAATGGTCATTTTTGTTTAGCTTGCTTTAGCTTAATTAACTCGTTTATTTTTATTACCACCTAGGATCCAGAATCGTGATGCACCATCCATAGGTAGCCATTGCTGCATCCCAATAACCCAAAAGATTTAAATTGATAATTAATTTAATTAATCAATCAATCAATTAACTAATATTGCGTATGCTGAGAATAACGACTATATGTACACATTATTAGACTTGGAACTCCTAAGTTTGACACTTTACACTGAATTTGATGCAAATTCTTCACTTTTATGAACATGATTCAAGGATAGCCACTGGATCCTCATCCTTTACAAACGCTAAATACAATCATATACTAAGTTTAAATTAAAATACGTATGTAGATATACATAGCTTAAGTGGCTTGTAACCATCCGAAAAAGAAGCACACGCTCACTCGTGACTCGTGATAGTACTTGAAAAATAGTAACATATTTTTTTATAATAATAAATGCATAACTATGGTCTTGTAAGAATATCTATTATATTATTTAATGAGATTAAGATGCATGCATTAGGAATATTGGAATGAGCAGAAAATGCTCTCTATCTGCATCATTCTTCTTTGACTTTGACTAGTCCGCGTGAATGAATTTGAGGACCCATACATTTTCATTTTGTAATTAAATTATCGATCCAAAATCCACTTTTGTTTTACATTTACACTATATGTATATATTAATATCACCAAAAAGTATATATAAAAAAAGAAAATGAGGAAAAAACCAAAGAAGTTACTGTGGATTCTTTAGAATAGTAATTGATAGTTACGCAGATTTTCTTCATTGTAACGAGGCGAAACATGGGAGGAAGGTCTCCCATTCAACGGACATGTTTACCAAAGCCTATTTTTGTATATTATTCTTACCCATACAATACAATGCATATATCTCTATATTATATACAAAATAAATTACCCACTTGAAAGTTTATAACATGACAAGAGCCTTCAAGAACAAGCTCAATAGCCTTCTAGCTTCTTATTAGTTAATGCACCTTTCTGATATCATCATATCATCATAAACCAGCTAGCTCAGTGTACTACTCAATAATTTATGTAATTATTGTTCATTTTGCTTCATTCAGCTAAATATGTACAAATAAATAAATTAATTTTTTTTTATATATTTCTGTGCCCGTTCTTGGTTGTCAGGCCTTGTTTGTGAAGCTAGCGTTTGCATAGATCCTCCCATCTCTCTCTCTCTCTCAGTCTCTCTTAAAACCCACGTCCGTGCCCTTGAAGCTAAGAAACAGTGCAACCAAAGACTCCTCCAAGCTGTCTGGTTTCCTGTGTAGTTCTTTGTCTGCTTTCGTTTGTCCTTTGAGAGGGTTTCATCTTGCGTATCACAAAAGGTTTGTATGCTTCTGTTCTGTTGCTTTTGGCATCACTTTTTTCTGTGTCATGAAACCTTTTGCTTTCTTAATTGACTGCTTTTTCTTTTTGTTTCGTTTTCTCCGGTCATATTTTGATTCTGCCTTTATTACATAATTTCAGAAACCCTTTTTGGAATCTTTTAGTAGTGATTGAGTATAACTCTTGACCCTTGATTAATTCACAAACTTTTCTTTCATATATATAGCTCTTGTTTTAGTTAGGTTAATTTGGAAAAGATGTGTGCGTGTGTGTATTTGTGTGTGGTTCAAACTGAAAATTCTAAGAGAGATGAAACGAGGGTTTGATTTGTTTGCCTTTAGGTTCTTAACTTCTTCCTTTAATTTCATTTGACTTAGTTATCAGTTAAAGGAGTTATTTTAAATGGATATGAAATTTCATACAAAGCAATATCCAGATGAAGATTTATTCACTTTTCCTTCTTTTTCCTTTTTCATTTGGAACTATGCTATCCTTTCCATGCACGTAACGAGATGTCAGTGAATTCTTCTTTGTTATTTTTCCAAACGAATCATGAATATGAGCATACATATTCCTCTCTTTCTGCTGTTTCTAAGGATATGTGTTCTAATGTGTACAACACATAGTGATATAGCTAGAGGGAACGAAGCACGGACAAAACAAAACTTCTTTCCTGTTAATGTTCTTCTAATCTGTAAGCATTCAACGTCTTTGGAATATATAAAAGGTCTAGATAATCTGAAACTGAAATTGTTCAATAATCAGGGACATCCAAGGCCAGAAAAGTTAACTAGCTTTTCTTATAGATTCTTCTTAGGGTTTGCACTCAGATTTAGATTCCTCGTGTCAGGAAATGTCTCCTTCTATGCATGGAGAAGGTTTCACATCCAATATACTCATTAATTTCCTTCTTATATATAAATTTATGATATGTGCTCTTTTTTTACTTTTTGGACAACATTTATATGATTTTCTAAGTTTCTCCCTCTTCAATTTGTTTATTTTATGGTCATAAAGTACCTTTTTGACAGTAAAGATGAAGAACTAACATAATCTCGAGATAATCAACCTTTGGCCACATTTTTTAATTTCTACATCATGGACTACTGGTAGTTCATACCTCCATGAGAATAAACCGTTTCATATATACCCTTTCATAAGCCACGTGCCCCTGATTTAATAAATGTGTGTAATTTTATATCAAATTAGATTGTTTATCATCTTAATACAGACAGATCTTTCTCTTTTTCATTTTCAGTTAGCAGAGTCAAAACCCCGCAGACAGTACAACATGATGCCAGGCAATGGACAGTTAACAGTTCCTCCTGGTTTCAGGTTCCACCCTACTGATGAGGAGCTTCTCTACTATTACTTGAGGAAGAAAGTTTCTTATGAAGCCATTGATCTTGATGTCATAAGAGAAGTGGATCTCAACAAACTTGAGCCTTGGGACCTCAAAGGTATAGTTGATCTATACTCTATAATCATATGCTTAAATTAATACAGATGAAAATAGAACAATGCATATATCCTTGTTTGTGTACTATTCTTCTATCTAGGGTTTTACTATATCATGGCAAGAAAGTTAAAAGAACTTGTTAACTACGAAGGTTGTAATAGTTGTTTAGTTTTTTGTAACATGAACTAGGTAACAGAATTTGTTGCTTCTTTACATGCAGATAAATGTAGGATTGGGTCAGGGCCTCAGAATGAGTGGTATTTCTTCAGTCACAAGGACAAGAAATACCCGACAGGAACAAGAACAAATCGAGCAACTACAGCTGGTTTTTGGAAAGCAACTGGAAGGGACAAGGCCATATACCACACTAATTCTAAGAGGATTGGCATGAGGAAAACCCTAGTTTTCTACACTGGTCGTGCTCCTCATGGCCAGAAGACTGATTGGATCATGCATGAGTATCGCCTTGATGAAGATGATGCTGACGTTCAGGTGAGAAAACCACACATACAGATACACTTCAACTAAATGTATTCATTCTCTTGATCTTAAGATTGATTCGGAACAAAATCCAATGTATTATTTTATGAACTTTGACAATATTTGTGAAAGAGAACACAAACTTCAAATAACGAGTCCAACGGTTCCAACTCAATTTCCAGATATAATGACAAGGTTCTCATGTGTTTCTAGCAGGAAGATGGGTGGGTGGTATGCAGGGTTTTCAAAAAGAAAAACCAAAATCGAGGTTTCCAGCAAGAAATTGAAGAAGAAGATCACTTAACCCACATGAGAACAGTTGGTCCTTGCCAGGTGCTAGAGCCAAAACATCACATGCAAGGAGGACTATATGACTACAACTTTGATGGGACAATGCACCTTCCACAGTTGTTCAGTCCAGAATCAGCTGTTGCACCAACCACTGCTTCCTTGGCCTCATCCATGAATGCCATGGACATACTTGAGTGCTCTCAAAACTTGTTGAGGCTGACAGGTACTGGATGTGGACTTAATCTTATGCAACAACAAGGAGAGAGGTTCAGTGGTGACTGGTCATTCTTGGACAAGCTACTAGCATCCCACCATGGCATGGATCATCAGCATCATCCACAAAGCAAATGTAACCCTCCCACTCACCAAGCTGCAACTCCTGTGGGCACTTCAGCTCAGAAATTCCCATTCCACTACCTTGGCTGTGACACCCATGATATCATGAAATTTTCCAAGTAGGGTACTTCATTGCATTTAAATTGTTATATTTGAGGTGATGAAGTGAGAAATATTTGGTTCCTAAGTATATGTAATCGCATCATGTTAGATACTCATTGAGATTCCACTCATTAATTTAGTTATTTCTTGAGTATCAATTGTATATATATGTCTACCATCTTCTACGTTTATAATTAGTTTTCAAAGTGTTTTCGGTGAAAATATAATTTAAATATTTTTAATAAAAAAAGTAATTTCCATTTTAAGTTTTATTTTTCGACTAACAATGTTCTACCATATTAACTTAGATTTCTTTTTAGTTTTTTTTTTTTTAATTTAAAAGAATATAATCAATTTTAGCACTTAATTCATTATTATTATTATTATTATTATTATATATATATATATATATATATATATATATATATATAAACAAAATAAAACTTAATATCTTTGTTATATACGTTATAATCTTATAATAAAAAAATTGGGATTTAAAGAAAAATAAGTTTCTAACTTAAGACCAAAGGAATTGAAATAAAAAATAGTAAAGATAGATTAAAAACACTTGATTTAAAGAGAAATTTGTAAATAATGTATATAAATTTAATGCATTAGTATAAAAAAAATGCAGATATATAAATTACAACAACGTAAATGTTTGAAAGCAATAAAAATCTTTAAAAATAAATTATATTTAAGTTCAATAAAGTAAAACAATTAAGTCTAAAGTAAAGAAGGTGATTTAAAGAAAAAAAGTTGATGCAAATATGAAATGAATAAGATGAATAAAATAAAATGTATGAAATATAAAAGTTGCAATAAAATACATTATGTGATTGCATTTTCGCTAGGTCACGTTACAAAAGTTTAGTATATTTTTCACATCATATAACGTTGAGTGTTGTTATTTATAGATCATCGTCAAGAATTATTAACTAATGGATACACTACATGTTTTATTTCTACTGATTAAAATTGCATAATTTCTATTTATTATAACTAACCCCAAATATTCTTTTCATTTTCTTAATTAAGATTCTCATAATCTAGAATCTTAATCTTACTTAACGTCTCTCTCTACTTTGTTTTCGTACTACTCAAGATCTTACTTAATCTTACATTATCACCGGAAGAAAATTAGGTTTTGCAATTTCATCTAGTTAAGCAAACATGGCATATCTTCCTTCATATGTGTATATTTTTCTTTGAAATTGTACACTTATGAAATTGAGACATTTAAGCTCTCAAGCTACCCTATCCTTTTAGATATTGTTGTAATCACTGAATTAGAAGCCACTGAAAAAAACTACATTGTTTGAGAGCTTTCCAAAGACACACTAATCATGAAGACAACATCCATAGAACTAAGAAGATTTATGATCATTTTCTCTATATTAATTCCAAATAAGATTCTAATCTAATCCTCTCATATTCATAGTTTAATGTTTTAAGATTTTGTGTAAAAGGTAATATAATATTCTCTATCTAATTAATTCATCTCTTATTATTACGAATCTATCTTATATCAAAATTACTAATCAAGTGGTTAAACTCAAAAGCCTTTAATTTGAAATCTATCCAAATTTTCTGAAACTACTTTAACTCATAGAAATTTGATTTTTATAGATAGTCCCATGTAGTTTATTATTATATATAATGATATCAATCTAATTGGGATTGTACGTTATATAGTGATATTTTTACCTACCATCTTTCGTTAAAAAGAAAAAAATTGATTCAATGACTTTATACCAAACTGAATCTTTACTTAGTTTTATGTTTTAATATGCAAGAAGTAGCAGTCCATTTCGAAAGTTGAAAATGTTGAAAAGAAGACAAAAACAACAAAAACAAGTAGATTAATGATCCATAAACTTGATGCAGAAAACATGTATGTTGGTAACATATTGTACTGGTTTTTGTGCTTATCCAGATGGAGAAATATGCACAGGTTCAAGCACGCCATGAAAACACCATGTAATCGTACATTGAAGACGCGACGTTCCACATATTGAGTGAGTCAGCAAAAATATTTTTCAACCATATCATCAATTTGAGAAAAAAGTTGAACTAATCTGTACCACTTCTTTTCTGAATCCAATCTTTTTGGCCTAGATAGTAGTGGTTCATAGAGGTTTTGAATTTCATGAGAGGAGTTAAGTACATGGTTGCTTTGTATTCTAGTACATTTAAATTTATATTATTCATCCAAATGTCTCCATCCACATCTTCATCAATATCACTTATCATGTATTCTCAGAACACGATCTGAAAGAGATCCTATAACTCACTAAGAAAAGTCACATGAATTAAGAAAAATAAATAGAAACTTGTATTAGAGGACGTTTGATTATCATTTCTAACTAGATAATTGATTAGTAGATTAAGAAAATGCAAGAGCCTAAAGAAATCTTACACTAGGATAGACCAATGTGCCTAACCTTTTGTTTTAAACGAAAAATCCCAGTGACAAAGTTGCTTAGATGATAGGGATATAAAGTTGGTTTGATAATGAAAGTGTAGAAGTGAGAAAGAAAGAGTTAGTGGATTATAGTTCATTTGTTAATAAAAACTAACATATTAATAATTAATATTTATTTATTCAAAATATATAGTTTAGGTTACTTCTGGTTAGACACGTTACTTGGGTTCAACTCGTAGGACTTGATTTTAACCTACGTGAACTACGACGTAAATATTCACAAATATGAGTGAAAAACCAACCATAAATCATTTTCTTTTAAAAAAAAAAACATTTAAAAAACCTTTATACAGATAAAAGAAAAAGGTACTCCAAACTTTAGATGTTCACACTATAATTTTATTTAAATAGATACATTGTTATCATAATTCAACATAACTTTTTTACAAATATCAACTTTTATTCTCTTTAATAATATAGAAGTAATTAAATCCTCTCAAATCTCTTAATAAATAATTATAAATATCGTATCTTACTCTTTTTATTTCAAATACTAAATAAACATTTTTTTATAAAAAATTTATATAAATATATAAAAGAATGAAATAAAATAAAATAAAAATATAATATTAAATGTGTGGCTTTTCATGATCACTCTTTCTTTTATATATATATATATATATATATATATATATATATATATATATATATATATATAAAAGAAAGTAAAGATTTCTTAAAATTATAATATTTATTTGATAAGTCTAAATAAATAAATAAAATAAAGTTTAAAAATATTTTATTAAAATATAAATATAAATAATATAAATAAATAATAATATTCTAATTTTTAAAATAATAAACAACAATTTGTAGTAATGTTAATTTATATGCATCCACTCTGGATTGGGAGTAAGCATGGCGGATTTTGGCTTCTTTTTTCTTTTTTCTTTTTATTTTATTTTTTATCATTCCTCTTTTTATTCTTGTAAAGATTAAAAATTAAGTTTTTATCTTTATTATAGTTGGATTTTAGGTTTTTTCGCCCCAAATTATCTCTCTATTTCACATTATTTATAAATATGAAATATATAATTTATAAAAATATATTTAATAAGTTAATTTTTATTTAATTAGTTTAAAGTGATAAAAAATTTTAATTATTAATTTTTTTAATTATTCAAGATATAATTATTTTATTATGAAAAATTGATATATAACAAATAAAAATAATAAAATTCAAAAATTATAACATAATAAAATCTAATAAAGATAAATTATAAATAAAATAATATTAGTTACTAAGATTGATGGAGAATATTTAGAAAAGATAAAAAAGAAGAAAAATTAATTTTGTGTTTGTCAAATTCATTAAAAAGATTGAAAAAATTAAATTGATTGAAAAGATTAAAAAAACGTAAAGAAATCAAATATAAGAAAAAGAGAATAATATAATGAACTAATTGATCTAAGAAACTGAAAAAAAAAAAGACAAAAGAGTGAAAAGTGGGCATAAGAAAAATAAAAATAGTAAAAAATAAAAAAATAACCTTATATATAATATGAGAAAATGTTAGGAGTCAGACTAACCGCATAAAAACGCATAACTAAAATAAAATATGAGAAAAGAGAAACAAAACAAATAATAGAAAATTATAAAATTTTAGTACCGAAAGAAATTACAATACCTTCTTTAAATCTATGAAGAAACAATAAAAATATTTTTTTTCAGAAATAAGAGAACTCAACTACTATGCAATTCACTAGAAAAAGAAGAAGAAATTACAATACCTTCTTTAAATCTATGAAGAAATAATAAAAATATTATTTTTCGAAATAAGAGAACTCAACTACTATGCAATTCACTAGAAAAAGAAGAAGAAAGAGATTTAGACTTATTTACAAGATAAACATTAGTACCGAAAGAAATATATTTTAGTACCGAAAGAAATTACAAGTACCTTCTTTAGTACCGAAAGTATATTGATAAATCATCCTAAAGTATATTGATTTACAATATACTTTAGTACCGAAAGAAATTACAATACCTTCTTTAAATCTATGAATAAACAATAAAAATATTCTTTTTCAAAAATAAGAGAACTCGAGATACTATGCAATTCATTAGAAAAAGAAGAAGAAAGAGATTTAGGATGATTTACAAGATAAACATTGTACTCATTTTATAATAAGAACTAATATATATATATATATATATATATATATATATATATATATATATATATATATATATATGGAAATTTACTTTAATTATATTTTTTTAAAATTATTGAAGATATTACTAGGATTTAAAATAAGTGTATTTTAAAAAAAAAGTAATATTAGATATTTATAAAACAATGATCCATGAGCCACCAACAATGATCATTAAAAGTAAACATTTCAGTGGTATGATAAGTTCTATTTCAGCATGATAAACAAATGAAACTAGATAACAGACATGTTACTGGAGGAGTAGTGAGCAACGTTTGAACAAACAGAGCCACAAATTGCAATTGCAAGTTGGAAATGATATTTAGTGACCAATTTGGAATATTGTATATACTTTATTGAACAAGAGAGATTAGAAAGAAAA